TTTTTCTCCCATCATTGGACTCTGTCGTCTGCCCTTCTGGCCCCTATCCTCCACTTCTACTAGCTAGACGACCCAACCGGGGTCACATTAAAGGGGGGGGTTGGACCCCCTCCCGCGGTTCATGCCTGAGGTATTTTTATCGCGAGAAGGGTACAGCAATCCCTTCCCTCGCGGCGTACGAAGTCGATTATGGTTTACTAACAAACGAGCTTTGCAGCGCGTCGCTTTCATCCTAGACCAGGATTTATATAGTGAGAAAAAAACTCTCTCTGCCGGGACTCGAACCCATGACCTGGCCCTTAGCAGGCTGCGAGGCTACCCACTAGACCACCGGGGCGACCGGTTCGTGTGTGCGTGTGTGTTTGTGACCTACATCAGGCCCGCGACGAGTACGCCAAGGGGGGGGGGCTCGCGGCCAGGAGTTGCTCGGTGTCTGCGAGGGGGTGCCACTTCTTGGGCAACAGTGCTACAGCCATGGCGAAAGCCTCGGCAGGTATTCATTCGGTGGTGATGCGTTGGAGTTAACAGTATTGGCGAGTTCCGCACGGCTCTTGGAATGTGGCGCAGGGCCCACTGGTTGTCCGACTTTGATTGGGTTGTGTGCTTGCCCGGTGCAGGGAGGGGTTGTCGGCGAACGAGCGCGTGCCCAGACTTGCCTCAAGGACGGCCGAATTCGCGAGGATATTTTTTTGTATATCTATGGAGTAGAGATGGGGGTTCCGTAACCCTATCCCTAGCCACGAACCCAACCCCGTACCCCCTACTACTAAAACCAAGGTTATTATCCCTGCGAGGGCTATAAGTTGAAGAAACTAACTGCCGATACAAGGAGTCGTTCAGGCGTAAAGGCGGATCGTCAGCGCGCCGTTCACGAATACGGTTGTAGTGTGTAGATCTGGTTGTTTATGCGTCCCATCTCTTCTAGCGGCTAGCTTCCACCTTTCGGTATATGTGTATCTGACGCACAAACCGGGGTCATGCAGGAAACAATCTCACGCAAAAGTTGTTTTTCTCGTGCGTGCTACTCGTCTCTTGTTAACCCGACAACGGGGTTCAGCAATTCTCTCTCCACCTTCGTGTTGGTACGCGCTTTCCGCACCCATATATCGTGACATGTTTCGTTCCCGAGAGGTTCGAACCCACAACCCCATGAGCCTAAGACTTTTACGAGGTTCCCAACTGAAAACACCACCGGGGCGAACGGGTATCGATTCCCCCGCATTATTTCCCACCGTCGTCGTCGTTGCAGGCATCGGTGGCGGGGCATACCTGGACGACTCCGACGCGTCCGTGAGCGGCTGCCGTTTCGAGCATAACGTGGCGGAGGGAATCGATCTGTTTGGTCAGCTGGCGTCCTTCGGGGCTGGGCTGGCGACTCGCGGACCCACGCACGGCTTAGACATGAGGCACGACTTTTCTTTCGCACGGCTTGGTTGTGTTTGTATTGTCTCTTCCTTCCTCCGAAAACGAGAACTTCATATCCAACAACAACATACATGTATGTACGGATACATGAGTCCGGGGAACAATATCAACGTCATACATGGTAGTAATTAGCAACGCCTTGTCTGGCCTACCTGTGTTGCCACTGATAGTCTAGCAGCATTCGGTGACGGCTCCCCTTGTTTCATTTGTCTGCCTGAGCGAGTGACCCGGATACCTATTCCCGCGTCGCTCTTTGCCCGCTGAAAAGTCTCGTCTGTTTTTGCGATGATTGGTGCTGTGTTTGTATCTGCTGTGGCTTTGTTTGAACCGGCCGCCTGCCCAAGATTTGATCTGTATGCAAGGGTTCTGCTCCCGCCAGCATGTGTATGCATGCCCTACACAACACAAGATACCCCCCCCCCCCCTTCATGCGACTCGCCGAATACCTCACGGCGCTTCGCGCTTGGTGATGTGAGAGCCTGGTCCGGTGAGAACCCCGCGTGCCCTTCCCGGCTTCGTAGGGATGCGAGGTCAATGGTCTAACGACTAGGGCATGCACGACTTTGAGTACATTCCCCCCCTGTAGGATAATGCACATACACGCACAGTACCACACCCGGCGGCATGATTTTTACAAATATCGTGTGCCCAAACAACAGAATACTCATAGTTCAAGCAGCAGGGTGTGGGTATCTCGAAGGGTTCACTTTCGGAGTTATGCAATTTTTCTAAATTTTGATTTCGAAGGAGTTGGTGTGTTTGAAACAACCCTAACACACTTGTTTCGTCGTTCCTCCGGCTTCCCTCACCCAGCGACTCGAGCTTTGTCGAAAACGCGGCGGGAAAGGGGGGCTCCGGCGGAGGGATCTGGGTAGAGGACGGTGCGAAGGCGGTGCTGGCCAGGACGGAGTTCGTCAACAACACCGCTGCGTCCAGCTACACTCACAAGGGGGCCGGGGGAGGGATTGCGGTGTCGGCGTCGGCTAGCCTGACAATGTCCGAGGGCTGCGTGCTTGAGGGGAACGTGGCTGGGCCAGAGGTAGGGGGGGTCTGCGTCGGGAGATCTATCATTCCGCGTTGAATTTTCGAAGCTGCTGTTCTTTTTTTGCTCTGCTGTTGTTCTTCGTTTATTGATGATAGTAACCATCGGGAACTACATGTCCTTTGTCATGGGGGGCTCAATTTGGGCCGTATATGTGTTGTATGTCTTGTCTGTTTGGCTTCCCGCGGTTTTATCGTCAGTTTTACGGTTCTCGGTGCTAGGAAGGAGAGGTTTCGATGACGTTGTTTGCTTTTGCGCTCGCGGTCAGGCCGACCACCGCAAGGCCACTCAGCGTCAGCGTCCATCAGGGCGGTCGCTCCCCGCGGGCTAGTGCTGAGCTGTCGGTTGCCCCACCGCAAGGTTTCGAAGCATGATCTGCTTGCATCTTCTCGCCACGCCTTGTCAAGCTTCGAATACAGCGTCCTCTTTCACAACACCCCGCACAACAATGGATCAATGTTCCTCTATTATCCTCTCGCTACACAACCTGTCGATGTCCATACATAGCACCCCCCCTTCCCATCCGCGCTGCCGCCAGGACGTCGGGGCGTCGGACCCTTCTTGCTTGTCCGGTCAAGGCGGCGGGATACACGTCTCCGGGTCGGCCATCAGCCTGTCAGGCGTTTCTATGAGGCGAAATCGCTGCGAAACGGGGGCTCTCGACGCCGGCTGCTCGGGAGGCGCGGTCAGCCTCACCGGGCGGGGGCCTCAGGCGACGACTGCCGTGGCAGGTAGCTGGTTGTGGCTTTTGTCGGAGAAGAGAGGGGTGCTTGGGGGCTGGTGGTATGGCGGGGTCGTGATGNGGGGGGGGGGGGGGGGGGGGGGGGGGGGGGGGGGGGGGGGGGGGGGGGGGGGGGGGGGGGGGGGGGGGGGGGGGGGTCTGCAAGGTTGTCGTTTTTTTCGTTGGTCGTTGGTCGTTGGCAATAAGGTGGCGGCGATGAGGCGGTGGGGAGTGAGTGTCGCGATAGCAGCCGCGTTTGGGTTGGTTGCCGTTGGAGGCGCCTGTCAGCCATGTATTGGCTTAGCTTGCATGGGGAGGGACAGAGCGGGCGGGGGTCGGCCAATCGGAGTCGCGGAACCGTGTGCCGGAGATCCCTGCTGCTGTGTCACGCGTAAAATGTCTACGACTCGGCACGCGTGATGCTCATAGAGGGGCGGGCGGACATTGAGAAATGCGGAAAGCTCTACCGACGATCCCTACCGTGCTACGCGTGGCGCCAAACAGCATACATTTCCGTTTGTTCCCGTCCTCCTCCTCTCCTCCTCCTCCTGTCTGGTGCCTCTCGCTGGTGCTGCATACCACGGATGCTTCTGCCCCCCCTGCAAAAAAAACGTTCGGTTGGAACCTCTTCTCCCCCAGCAGGCGACGACGACGGCAACAACAACAACGGAGGAGGGGCGACCTTCGACGACTGCCTCTTCGAGCGCAACGAGGCCAGGGGAGCGGCCACGAACAACGTCTACAGCGGAGCCGGCCAGGGCGGCGCCGCGGCGATCCGCTTCGCCTTTCCCAGGTTCACCGGGTGCAACTTCACCGGCAACGTGGCCGAGGGGGGAGGTGGCGCAGCCCCGGCTACCGGCGGAGCGGTGCTGCTGTTCCTTTCCCGGGGAGGAGGAAGCTCCGCCGCCGCCGCCGCCGCCGCCGCCGCCGCCGCCGCCACCTCTGACGGCGGAATGGAAACCCCTCCCCCGACGTTTGTGAGTGTTGGCTTCAGCCGGAGGGCTGTGGTCGGTCGGTCGGGCATCCCCGTATGTTCTTGAGGAGGGGGGTGTTGCATATGAGTTGCTGGCTCGTTGGGTGCGAGGCCCCAGTTGTGCTGTCCGCTCCCTACCGCTGCGCGAGCTCGAGCGATGCACTGGCTTCATTGCAGTGTCTGTGGTGGGGAGCCCGGTCTTTGTGGACACGTTCCCAGAGGGACGTCGATATTTTGCCAGCTTAGATGGCTTTTGTGGTGTTTTTCTCACAACGTTTTAACGGATTTTTTGCTGTGGAGATTGTTTTTTTTGGTCGCCGAAGCGCACCATGTTTTGTTGGTGATCTCCAATCGTTTCGGCGTTTTCGCGTTTTCTCTCTCAAACACCTTTCCTCTCTCTCCATTAAACCATTGAAGTCCCCGAGAAAAAAATCGAACCTGAATCCTGCCAAGCCGGGCACTGAGCGGGAACCGAAATATGGTTGCGTTCTGCGTGACGTTTGTTTTCTTGACGGGTTTTTCCCAAAGGTAAATTGCAAGTTTACCTCAAACATCGCCGGATCCGGGGGCGTCCCCGCAGACGGGAATGGCTTGGGGAGGGGTAGGAGGCAGGGGCACGGGATCGGAGGGGCTCTGGCCGCGATTGCCTCTTCGCCTCTGCTCTCGGGCTGCTCGTTCTGGAACAACTCTGCCGTGGCGGTGTTCCCGTCATCTTCTGGTGAGGATGAGTGAGCAACGGTTGTCGGTTGTTGTCGGTTGTTGTTGTTGTTGTTGTTGATGTTGTTGTTGTTGCTGCTGCTGTTGCTGTTGCTGCTGCTGGTGCTGTTGTTGCTGGTGCTGCTGTTGCTGTTGCTGTTGCTGCTGCTGGTGCTGCTGCTGGTGCTCTTGTTGCTGCTGTTGCTGTTGCTGTTGCTGCTGCTGGTGCTGTTGTTGCTGCTGCTGCTGTTGCTGTTGCTGTTGCTGTTGCTGCTGCTGTCGCTGTTGCTGTTGCTGTTGCTGTTGCTGTTGCTGTTGCTGCTGCTGTTACTGTTGCTGTCTTTCAAGCTGCAACCGTCGCGGTCTCTTCTCGACACATACTAATCCACACTAACGCCTGTACCTTCCGTGGTCGAAGACTCACTCCACTTACTACCCAAACGGGGCGCCTGTTGTGAACAGTCACAGCCGTGGAAAGATAGATATAGTGGGGGGGATGATGTCGGTGCTTGTCTAGGTCGCTTGCTCCTTGACATTTCTGGCCTCTAGACTCGAAAGAGACACGTCTCATGAGCGGCATGCAGGGAAGACCGAAATGAGTGCGAGATGCAGCTTTGCAGGTGGAGGAAAGGATACCACTGGCGAGGGTCAGCTTCAAGATCTGTGTAGCGCTAGCTTCAGGGGAAAACGCAACCAACGAGAACAGTCGGGACGCATGTATAGTAGATATGCTTCCTTTTCCCTCGGTTGTGGCCCCTGCATAATCGGCAAAGTGTGGCCGGTCGTTTCGAGCATGGTCGGTGAAAGTGGAATTGCGTGACACAGATGTGGTTTTCAAGTGTCTCATACTCTGAACAGTGCCGAGAGGCCCGGTATTCGTAAGGCCTGTCCTATCCCTTGGCACTACTTGCCATGCGGCTTTGTACACACACCACTACGCTGTACTCGCTCGCCAGATTTCTGAGAGGTACCGACGGGTCGAGTTTCGGTAGCCAGGTAGGGCACGCTTGACTTCATGCCGCCTCTGCAACCCTACCCCTAACCCTGACCCTAGGCTCGGTAGCGAAGTAAGGTACCCTTCAAGGAGGCGGCACGAGCCAGCACGCACTACTTCATGCTGCGTCTGCTACTTCAAGAAGGAACGGATGGTGACGAACTGCCACACAGAAAAACATGCCTCCGACCGTTTTCCCGGGGACAGTCCGCAGAGCCTCGAGCTCGCCCAAAATACCACACAGAGCACACAATTGTAGTTCACACTCAGGGTGGTGGCGAACACCTCGTCCACCACTGCCGTGAGACGGTAGGTGGGTGACATGTAACGTTTTCTGCCGTCTGCGTAGCCCCCGTTCCCGTGTCATTCATGAAACCGTCGTGCTGTGCTACTAATGCTGCTGCTGCTGCTGCTGCTGCTGCTGCTGCGTGTGCTCGCTCTGCTGTCGCGGTCGGCACCAGGCGGAGGAGGGGGCGGGGGGAGCCCTGCGGTGTCGGGCGGGACCCCTTCCTTCGGAGGAGCTATAATGCTCACCAGCGATTGCTGGGGGACTCGGTTGAGCGACTGCGCGTTGGGGAATAACGCCGCGGTGAACGGGGTGGGCGGCGACCTCGCCGTGTTGGCAGCGCCGTCCAAGGGGTGAGATGGGTTAGAGCGAGGGCCGTGTTTGGAGGATGACCGTAGTGGGGTCTGGGACGAAAAATTTCTCTGGGGACGGATCATTGTGTTTCTTGGTGGGCGCCGTGGTTCCCACACACCCCGCCGGCAAAGGAGGTGTTGGATCTCGTGGGGGTCGAGGAAGGCTGTTGTTCTACATATTGAAACAGGCTTTCTGCGTACTTCAGGACCAGTCGAAATACTTGAAAATCACAAAAAAGAATCACCAAGCTTTCCTTCTTCTGCCCCGCACAACCATTCTGTCGGTCGACTCCCCCCTCACGCCATCTTCTGATTCGGATCATCTTCTGTCGCAGGCGCTCGTCCATGCTCAATTCGATCACGGCGGCCACAGTGGCATCACCACGCACCGCCATTGGTCCGGAGCCCTCCAGTTCTGCCGGAAGCGCATCACCGACCATGGCCGCCGCCGCCGCAGCGCCGGTGGGGGCGGCGACAGCGGCAGCCGCAGGGGCACCGCCAGCACCCTCACGGGCTCCGGCCATACCGGCAGCAGTCCACGGGGCCACCAACACCGCTGCCGCCTTTCAGCCGGTATCATCTCCGTTGGCGTCTTCCCGTCAGTTGCCACCCGGAGCAGCCGCCACAGCGACCGCCGTCCTGTCCGGCTGCAGCTTCCGCCCGGCCAGGCCCCAGAGCGACCCCGCCGTCCCCTGGGCGGACGGGAGGTCGGAGACGGCGGCTTCGCCGTTCCTGTTCGTGCTGGACGGGGGGACGGTAGAGCTAGTGTCCCCGGTGTTCGAGGCCGCGGGGCAGGCGTTCGTGGCGCAGGTGCGCGGCTGCTTTTGCTTTTTTCGTTGGATTTCTTAGTTTTTTTTCTTTTTGCCGTGTGCTGACTGGCGACTGTGTGCTGTTGGTTGTCCTTTACTCGGCGTAAATTATGATGCTAGTCACGCGGGGTATCTTGCACGGAGGTGTCCACGAAGGCTATGTACCCATGGAGTCCTACGAGTGCCCGGTCACGCGTGCGGATACCCTCGTCACACCATGCCACCCGCTGAAGAATCCAAGCATTTGTTTTTTGCCCTAAGGGAAGCCATCGGGCATTCGTTTCTTGCCACGAATGAAGCAGTCTAGGCGAGCATGACACACCTGGCTTTTTCTTTCCCCTAGGAGAAAACGCGAGGTCACGCCAACCCCCGACCCCACCACACCGACCAACAAGCACGCCAAGCACACAACGCGCGTACCCCCGCTACCCTCCCGAAACAACCCTTAACCTCGCACCACACAGGTCGATCCGCCGGCCTTTCCCTCCGACATGGAGAGCGAAATCTCACATCTGCGCATCGTGGGCTCCGGCGGGCCCCAGACTACCGGCGCGCACGCCGCCTTCACGGGCTTCCTCCAAAACGACGGCGCCAACGGGCGCCGGACCCGAACCACCGCCCCCGGCGCGAAGCTATCGGTCGTGTCAGTCGGCGGTCGCGTCTCGTTGGTAGACACCACCGGCGACGACGACCGAGGGGCTGGAACAAACGACGGGGAAGGTTTGACGAAGCCACCAGCGGCGGCGGCGGCGGCGGCGGCGGCGGCGGCGGCGGCGGCGGCGGTAGATACGACTCCGTTCGCGCTGCGAGACTTAGCCTTGCTCGGGGCGGAGCTCTTCCTGGAGGGTGGCAACGGGGGTGAGCGGCAACAGCACCGAGGCCTCGCGGTGGAGAATTCGGCAAGGTTCCGCACGGCCAACGTGTCCGCCGTTGTTTCCGGCGCCGCCGCCGGAAGTGGCCACGATGAGGCCGCCGCCGGTCGGCGGCGATGGGCGCGCGGTTCCCCCGCGGATGCAGCAGTCGCGGGAGTCACCTTGGAGGCCCAGGGCGCGGCGAAGCTCGGTGAGGCTTGGGAGCCGAAGCCGTTCTTTCTGGGCACGTCGCTGTCGCAGCGCTTCCCTTTGCCAGAGTCGGCGGAGCTGGCCGGGGCGGGGGCGGAAGCCGTCGAAGGCGGTGGCCGGCACGCGGCGCGTAGCGGGGGCGGCGAGCGCGACGCGGACGACAGAGTGTCGTTTGACGGAGTTGTGGTGAAGTTGGCGGGGGAGTCCGAGGTACGAGGAGGCGTTTCCCTCGCCGAGACGGCGATGGTGCAGGTAGGTACAGTACCACACGCGCCCGCCGCAGTTCCACAACACATTCCGGATATGATGGCCGTTTCAGCAAGATACACTGATAAGTGTGTGCGTTTCTTTTTTATTTCTTGGGGGGAGGGAGGGGGGTGTGTTGCTACTGAAACGCTTTTTCTACCTTTTTTTTTTTTGGGTGTAACGTGACAGCCAGGACGTTTTTGGGGGGTTTGGCGCCCTTCTGTCCCTTGTGTACACGACCGGAGTTTTGTGCAAAATATTCATTCTGTTGACCGTGCGTGGCGGCGAACATCATCCCTACACATTGTGCGTTCCGGTACCCCGCAATCCACCAAACCCCGCCGGGTAGTGTAGCTAACCCTACCTGAAGAAAGCGACAATTACCCACTTTTCGTGTCACTGCTGCTTCCGCTGCTGCTGCTGCCACTGGTGCTTATGCTCCTTCCGTTGCTGCTGCTTCTGCTTCTGCTTCTGCTGCTTCTGCTGCTGCTGCTTCTGCTGCTGCTGCTGCTTCTGCTGCTGCTGTTTTCCCTCAAACGTCTTGCCTGGGTCCAAGAGCAGGTGGCGCCGTCGGGATCGCTCACCCTAACCGGGGACACCACGATTCGCAGACAGACCTCGTCGTCGTCGTCGTCACCCCCCCCTCCAGCGGCGGCCGCGTCGCCTCCGCCCGCGGTGCGGAACGCTGGTGTTCTTTCCCTCCCCCGCGGGTTTTCCCTCACCATCGCAGGCGGTGTGGAGCAGGGTCCCACCGGCGAAACCGCCATTGTCCTCCCCGCCCCTCTCTACGCCCCCTCCCCCGCTGCCGGCGGTTGCCCCGAAGGAAGTGGTGAAGAAAATTTCGGGGGGGAGAGTGCTGGGGGCCCCGGCATATGGTGCATGGAAGGGGAGGGGTGGGGGGGTGCGACCGGACACCCGCTGGTGGTGGAGTCGGGGGCGACGAGGCTCGCCGGCGCGGTGAACGCCTCCGTGTCGCGTGGCGGCGGGGAAGACGAGAGGTGCGTGCGCACGTTCCTTTTTGCACAAAAAAACGGTTACTTTTGACAACAGACCTGTTGCTTCTGACACAAACAAGATGTCGCGTCGTCCGCGTCCGCGGCGTTTCTCCTCACGACGATCACAGCGGCGGCGGTGGTGGTGGTCTCCAGGAAACATTGGGGTGTGTGACGCGGTCGGGCGACGCTACGTAGAACACGAGTACGGGCGGGAGAGAGCGGGCTTCCTTCGCGACCCATGGTGCCGAGTGGCCGTCGTCTAGTGTTGGCTACGATTTTCTGTGGCGGACAATTGTCTGGCCTTGTTCTCTAACATTGGTGTGATTTTCAATCAAAGACATGCTAGTGTGCTTTCCTATCAACGAGCACCCGAAGCATATTTTGTCAGTTCGTGACCAATTTGTCTTGCCGTTTTCACTGTGCGGCTCCACGTCTCGGCGTCTGCTGCCGTCAAGAATGGGTGGGCTTGCCACATCTCTAGCCACTCTGTGGATTCGCGGCGCTTCACGGGGATATGACTAGCAAGCCAGTTCCACCCACCGCCCCATTACCCCCTCGTATCCTCAATTTTCCTCGGTATCGCGCTCCTAGATTCTTTTCCGGCCGCTACACCATATCCCCGTTACAAGGAAAGCCTGTTAATTCTTTGGATGCCATAATCCCCGCGTCCCTGGCAACCCGCGTCCCTGGCAACCTTTCGTTTTCCCGCTTCCCTCGTGTCACCCCCCCCGCCACCAACGTTATATTTCGCTCTCGACGTCTCACTTCATCTTGCCCCCCCCCCCCATCTTGCGTCATTCATGCACGCTCGCTGTAAGAGAACGCGAATGGATTGTCGGGCGGGACCCCCCC